CAGGAGAAATACCAATTGAGGAGAATGTTCACACAAAAACATAAAAATAAAACTAGTATTCACAAAATAATGAGGGGCGTGACCTCCCGAATGTCGAAAATCCTCAACAGCAACATCAAGGCATTGATATAAATAACCCAAGAAACAAGAGGTAAGAGGAAAAGATTTACCACAAGCAATAGCCATAGTTGTTTAGTAAAGACGTTGCACAATACCATCCTCAGGAAAGTAAGGAAAAATGAACCTTGATAGCAAAGCTAAAACAAAGGTAGAAAAGAGCATGACAACATCTCCAAAGAAATTACCAACATCTTGAAAAAATGCTTTATCTTAATGGTAAGCAACATCTTCCCATGAAATCAGTATCAGAGAGTAAGGCATCCAATTTCTCATCTTCAGTCATCAATTTATTAAAAATTGGTCTCAAATGGGGGAGTAAATCAATAGTTCTATACAAAGATAAGAAGCAATGCCATCATCAACACCATGCAAACCAATAAGGACGCATACATCCTCCAAAGTAACAGTAAACTCCCCATGTAGTAATGAACGTATGACTATGATAAGACCGATGGGAAGTTAATCACCCCATAAACACCTTTCTGTTACAACCAAATGCAACAAGTATATCGGTTACTTGTTACCATACAACAACTCTCAATTGAGTAGCGAAATAGGATCAATAAGCATAAAATTACACCAATTGGCCAATTGTTCATAGGAAGATTCATAAGACCTCAAATAAAATGAAGAATTTGCCTCTTAGCCAACTTAAAGTACAAAAAAAACCTATAATAGTTTCAGGAGAAATAAAATCATAAGGAAGATCACTACCCAATTAAAGAGAAACTTGAATAAGAGGATATTTGTAAAAAGGGTTTAAGGCCTCATCATTACTGCACAATTTAACAACATCTAAAATTATAATTAGCATATGTGCATTTGGAGAAGAGATATTAGAGCCCAAAATATTGTCAAACAAAAGAAACTTAGGAACTTAGAAGAGTGAACTGATTTCACACAAGAAGGAAAGAAAACAAGGATATACACAAATAAAGAGCAAGAATGCACAAAATCGCGGTATATAATCACAACCCAACAGTCCGGTAACGGATCCCCCAATAAGAATTCTACCTTATCTAACTACGAAAGTTAAATCATTACATAATATATCAATCCATGAAAAATACACATAGATGCCCTAACAGCCTCGTTGAAAACTTGCCTCGTTGGAAGTTTCCAAGGAAGTTACTAATGATCTATCCCCAACTTAAGTAGGAATTTCGAGTTCAACTTGCCTCATTGAAAACAAAAATGAAAATAACCCGCATACATGCCCTAACAGTCTCACCTTGTATATAAAACATTTATGTTATCAACCTTGCTTCACAAAAACAAAATTAAGGGATCTAATCTTTAACAATTTTATTTTGAATTTTGGGAGCTAGTCTCATAATAAAAATTCCTCAGTATTAGCGATATATTTTGGAAAAAGGCCTTTGCAAGGGACCGCAAACAAAATAGAGTTAAGTCGGCCTCAAGAAGATAAAGCATCCTAGCATCGCAAAACCTTGATAAATCAACCTTGAAAAAGTTGCCTCTCTAGGCCACAAAATCTTCCCTCGCGAGTGTTGCCATATTAAGCTGCAACAATTTGCCTCGAGGAAATCACATTATCAAAAGACCACCTCATAAGAAACTGCCTCGTAAAACTTCAATCTTGTGAAGTTATAACAAGTTTGCCTCATTCAAGCGGAATAGTTGGCCTCGTGGAGTCGTGTTTACTTTATAGATTCCTTGTGGCACTACATATCTTGCAAGGTAAGCCTAGCAATCGGAGAAGTACAGCAAAGGTTAAACTCAAGGTGTGAGAAACATGACTAGTGTCTCAAGGAAACCATGGCTGGTTGTACATGGGCACAGTACCAACATGTGTTGCTCTTTGAGAAAACTTAAGATCGTGCTCTAACCACCTTGTGGTATCGAAAGACACATGTCCCAAAGAGTGAAATTTATGGGATCAGTCTTTAGGAATTACCTACCTAAGATAAGGAATACTCTGGAACTCTTACTTCATGCACATAACATTGTTCCCTTGTTTTTATAAATAGTGAAACCTTTTTTTGTGAAAGGGATGGGAACCCTAGTCCATTAGGAATTCTTTCCCCGCTTCCAATACTCTAGGTCCATCCTTATCCTTGTTGTCTTACACTCCAAAGTGAGCAAAAAAAAAAATAGTGAAATAAATCATATACTTAAAAGTTATGGGTTAGAAGAAGTACACGAATATCCTTTATATGTGTAGAGGTATTATGACCCGATGGGCGGGGGTTATCCAAACATGAACTTGATTTGGGATAAATAATCAAAAGTCTAACCTAACCCTACACCTAATTTGGGTTAAGACAAACATTGAAAGAAATCATAAACTTTAAGGTTATGGGTTAGAAGTTAGACCAAATTACAAGAATACCATTTATATATGTAGGGGTATTATGACTAATGGGCTAGGTCAACCGAACTTGCACCCGATTTGGGTTAAATAATCAAAACTCTAACTTAACCTTACACCCCAATAAGCCTAACCTAACTTGACCATGTAGGGTTGAGTCAAGTTGAATTTACCATTTAAATTGAACCATCAACATCCCTATTTTAGCCACTCTTACTAGGGTTTCAATTTGGCTTGGATTGACTTGGCTCAATTAGAAATGTCATAAGGCTCTTTTTGTAAGCCAACGGGGATAAGGATGGGCTTAGAATCTTGGAAGCAGAGAAGGGTTATATTGTAATTTGGTGTCAATATAGATTGGATTTTGATCCTGATACAAAGAGTAGTCTCATTATTTGTAGATGTAGGAGAAAACAAGACTATGCGCATGAAATGAAGCGACTGGAGCATGTTCTTGGGTCTTCCCAGGGAGCAACATGTGTTAGTATGATACTCAGATACAACCAACCATAGTTTTCTTGGGGTACTGATCACGTATTTGATGCCTTGAGCTTAACCTTCATCATACTCTCTTTTTTGCCTATCTCGTCTCACAGTCAACTAAGTGTCTCATGGGATCTATAAGGTGGGTGTAGCTTTACAAGATGGGCCATCTTTCTTAGGCAAGGTGGCTTCTCATGAGGCATAATTTAAGTCATTTGGCGAGGCAACTATTGTGAGGTAGATCATTGTAATCTAGTGAGGTGATTTGTGAGTTTGACCCAATGTTGCCTTGCAAGGCGGTTTGCGAGTACCTTCTTGTATTGCCTCTATCATCAGGTGATTCTTGGATCTCATTTAATGTCATTTTGTGAAGTGGCTCATGATGTGAGGATATTTCTTCTTTGTAGGACTAAATTGACCTCGCTTTGTATGCAATGCTGTAAAATATTCTTTTTGTCATTCTCGTCGTCTATGTTGACGAGAATTTACTTCTTTGCCCTGAAATACAAGCTTATTGTCTTACATTTTCTACTTCAATTTTGTTATTAACAAGGCCCGTGCATCGCACACTTAATCACAGAGAAAATATATATTGTTTATATTAAAGAAAAAATTTATTAAACTACACTTACTGTTTAGCTAATTGACAAACTGTATCTTTACTATTTATATATTGTCTTAAAGTATCCTCAAGTTTTCTGACAATTGTCAAAAACCTCTTTGCTGTTAATGTCCATTAAGGGAGAGACAAAAAGACCATTTTACCCATTATTTTCTTTCAAAATTTTAAAATGAAAGAGGAAAAGAGAAAGAGGGAGAGAATACAGGTTGAGAGAGGGAGGGAGTGTGTACCAACGGCGCAACCGTCTAGTTGACGGTGAAACAAGGGAGAGCGGAGACAAGGAGACTGTAATGTTGGTCACATCCAGAGAGAATAAAATCTTTGTGTATTCCAGACCATGCTTTCTTTGCACCTATAATACTCCATAATTTGGGTCTCTAAACCAGTGCTTTAGCATGGCAAGAAAATAGAAAGTGGAAACGGAAAGTGTAAGGCAAGAAAAGGCGGAGCTATGGGCCATTCCAAGACGAGGTTCTTTTAGGAACTGGCCTTGTACACTGCAAGCGCTGCTCTGAGCTACTTGGTGTTATTCGTTGGCCTCCGTCAATTAGACCTAAATCGCGTTGCCAGCAAGAAAATCTAGGAAGAGAAGAAAGAGATCGACAAGCGCTTAGGTCGTCCACTTATCCAGACCAATCCCTACGAGGATGTCATAGCATGCAATGTTATAAATCCTGATCATATTGATTTGGAGTTTGATTCTATTGGAGGCTTAGAAGATGTCAAAAAGTCACTCTTTGAAACCACTACGGAGACCTGATTTGTTTTCTGGGAAGCTTCTCAGGCCTGAAAAAGGGGTATTGGGATATTGCTAATATGGGCCACCTGGAACAGGAAAGACAATGCTTGCTAAGGCCATGGCAAAGGAATATGGAATTGTATTTATTAATGCGTGAATCCGTCGCCTACTTCCTCCACCGGTGGTGAATGTCGAGCTTCAACTTATTCCACCTTGAATCACTGAATCTCCGACGCTCATGTTTTTCAGACAAGCTTTTGGTTTTGGACCAAACTTGCGGAGCCTAGAGCAAATTTCAATACGGTGGGCCAATCCATACTTCGCTACCTTTTTTTGTATAAATGAAACTCAGAAGGTTTTGATTCAAGGAGCAATTGAAGAACCAGAGCTCGATTTACAGGTTGAAGACAAAGATTGGCTTTTCAGGTTCAAATCCTGAGAAGGGGACAAGGGTAATATTGGATTTTAAAAAATTTTTAAACTCATCTCGTGTCACAGTGTACGGACTTTGATGGAATAGTTTAAAAAATTTGCCCCATATTAAATTTCTAGGCTGAGTTGGGGCTGTGCGGGATAGGGCCTGGACCCGGTCCGCAGCTTATACCGGCTTGATGCCCGGACCGGGAATTTTCAGGTCGGGTCAGCACGTGCGGGTCTGTCCGTACTCCGTATCTTACTTCCATCGGAACAAGAACATCACTACTATAGCCACTCTGAGTTTTTTGTGAAACCTGAAACGCCCTTGTGAGAATTGACTGTTGAGAAGGCGGGTTTTCGAAGAAACAAAATCTTCGAAGCTTTCCCAGCGTTTTGGTTCATCTAGGGTTTAACATTCCAGTTCGATACCATCCAAGGAAACTTGTTTGGCTTCGTCATTCGTTCTAAATTCGATGGATTCATTTTCGGTTTCTTCGTCTGCAGCAATGGCGCAGCAAACATGGGAGCTCGAGAACAACATCGTAAACATGGAGGGTCCTTTGGCGGACTCGGACGCCATTTATTTCTACGATGAGGCCGCGCAGGCCAAGTTCCAGCAAGAGAAGCCATGGGCAAACGATCCTCACTACTTCAAGAGGGTTAAGATTTCAGCTCTAGCGCTACTAAAAATGGTTGTTCATGCTCGATCGGGTGGAACTATCGAAGTTATGGGTTTGATGCAGGGGAAGACCGACGGTGATGCCATCATCGTTATGGACGCTTTCGCTTTGCCTGTTGAAGGCACAGAAACTAGGGTTAATGCCCAAGCTGATGCTTACGAGTACATGGTCGATTATTCTCAGACTAATAAGCAGGTAAAACGATAAACTCTCCTCCTCTAGGAACCGTAATTTGTTTGGCTTTCTTGCATTCCTGATGTATATTTAAGAATGGTTTCTATTGCATTCTGGGTTTAGGCTGGGCGGTTGGAGAATGTGGTTGGATGGTACCACTCTCATCCTGGTTATGGATGCTGGCTTTCGGGTATCGACGTTTCAACACAGATGCTTAACCAGCAATTCCAGGAGCCGTTTTTGGCAGTAGTTATTGATCCAACTAGGACTGTATCTGCTGGAAAAGTTGAAATTGGAGCTTTCCGAACGTACCCACAAGGTTATAAGCCTCCTGATGAGCCTGTGTCGGAGTATCAAACTATCCCACTAAATAAGATTGAAGACTTTGGTGTACACTGTAAACAGGTGGAATTGTTGTTTCCCATTGTTGCATTTAAGAATTGACAGTGTGGTTGTAGTTAATTTAATGTCATATGGTTGTGCCACTGCAGTACTATGCATTGGATATAACATATTTCAAGTCGTCTCTTGATTGCCACCTGTTGGATCTGCTTTGGAACAAGTATTGGGTGAATACTCTTTCTTCTTCACCATTGTTAGGAAATAGAGACTATGTTGCAGGACAGATATCGGATTTAGGTGAGCTCTATCTTAGTTGTCCTTGTCTTGGCAAGGGCTTATTCACTTCTCTATATCTTTAACTTTTGAATGGAACTTTAGTTTAACCATTTAGTTCACTGGAAGTTGTAAATAATGGAGAGTTGGATACCACCTTGTATTTACTATGTTCTGTTCTGTCTACTAATGTTCATGATTCTGTTCATTTGCAATGAAAACATTTCCTTATGTGATGCAGCGGAAAAGCTGGAGCAAGCAGAAAATCAATTAGCTCATTCACGCTTTGGGGCTTTTATATTTCCCTCTCAGAGAAAGAAAGAGGTCAGTTAAGTTCCGATTGAACAATAACAATACATGTAAAATAAGTTACAAGTTGAATGTCTTGACCCTCAGTCAGAGGTTTGCTATTTATGTCCTTTACTTTTCTGGAATATATCTTAAATACCTCAAGTGTACTGCTTAACTCTTAAAACTCTTTGAATGTGTTGATTTCGGTGGTATTACTGTTTTGGCTGCAGTTTCTATAAATTAAATCAAGATGTTTGTTTTTTTAGTTTTCATTTTCTTCTTTATGAGTTTTATTTCCAGTGTGGGATACTTTGGAATAGATTTTGAGGAGAGATTGTGGGACACTTAAGGATTTTGTAATAGGTAACTTCATAATTGTGTCTGTTTTAGTTGAGATATCTTTTGATGTACTGTTTTTGGTGAAAACTCTCCACTTATGTGTATCCTCTGTTTTTAAATGAAATTGCATTTTACTTAAAAAACAAAAAAGACAGATAGGTTTCCAGTGTGGGCCTGCCTATGACACAGCTTTTAATGTTGGATGACATAATCATCATTTGCTTGTATCCTTAACTTTTTATTTCTTTTTCAAAATACATAACTTTTCTTAGTTCCCCTAGAACTATTCTTAAACTAGCTAAAGGAATTTGTGCATAAATCTTGATTCCTGTTGATTGTGATTCCTGGTACTATGTAAATATGGTTACTCCCTTACTTCAGGAAACTGATATTTGAGGCATGTATGTTCTTCCATATTACACACATGTGAGAGGGTGATATTAATGGACTCATTAATCATTATAAGGATGTCAAGGGTATCTCACAGATGTTCATATATCTCATAGTTGGCAAATGGTTGTTATCTATAGAAGGATTGATTTCTAAGTTGGATTTTTGATCCTTCTATATCAGATAGAATACTTTGAGCCCTAATGGGGAGTTGGGGGTGGGGGAGTATAAGGATATTTGGAAAATGAAACTTATCCTGGTGTCCACTTTATTTGGTATGAGGTAACTGCACCCCAAACTTGATGTACCAGCTTCATGGAGGCCAATTTTCTACAACATCTTTTCCATGTGCAACCTTTTTTCAATCTTGAACACTTCATTGCTTGCTCTCATTCTTATCTGGCTCAATTAACTAGCTCTTTCCAACCTTCCCTCCATCCTCTTCATCACTAGTAGCCTACTCACAGCTCACTGCTTGCTTTAGTTTTCAAGGCATCAAGGTGAGGCTAGGCGATAGGGGGCACCTTGTTGCCTAGTTACCTAGGTGATGGATTTATTTATTTATTTTGAATAAAAACTATGAGTTGTAGGTAAATCCCTAGGTTCCAAATCAAGCAGCAACCATTTTCCACTGGTGTTTGTCTTTAATCTTCAAAAAAGATGTATAAACTTCATTTAAAACATAGAAAGTCAACATATTCATGAAAAAATGAAAGAAAGAAAAGTAATTTCAGAAAATAGAGGGGATGAGCCACTATTTTTGTCCTATGAAAAGAAGAAAGTAATCAATATTTGTTGATTGGACAAAATTTGGAGTTATTTGTTGCTTATTGCTTCAGGTTTTGAAGTTTTTGTGTGTTCAAGATAGCATACATGTTGTAAGAGACAAAACTAAAGTGTTTTGATTTAAGAGCCAAAAATGAAATTTGGGGGATGGACAATGGGAAATGGTTGGAACTGAATTCAGTGGGCCTTTCTGAGGGTCTAGTGATTATTCGGGATCCTAGGTTACTTTAGAAGGTAGGATTGTTTCTGAGGGTTAGTTTAGGTTACTTTAAGGAGAAGGAGGCGCTAGAAAAAATGTTTGGATGATGTTTTGACCAAGCAAGGGGTGGGCAGAAGCAATTTGTTCTGGTCTATATTGTAATTTTCCTTTTCACTCTTTGGGGGGAGCTAAGAAAGTTTATCTCCCCTTCTCTCTTTGAAATTTCTTCATTTTTATTTAATGAATCTCATTTTTTTTGATGAATAAGGATAGTTTTATTACTTCAAAAGAAAATGGAGATCTCATACAGCAGCCTGTGGAGAGGCGCAAGCTGCAGCCTCTCCCAACTGATTACAAAGAAACTTAAAAGGAAAAGATGAACATTACAGCTGAGCCCAAAACAAAACTTCCCTATTTGTCCCTTGCTTAGCTAAGCCATCAGCCAAAACATTTGCTGATCTCCCCACCTATTGTGTACTAACAGACATATTCCTTGTCAGCCACTTAAATTTTTTGACTTCATTTCTGTAGCACCATATAGTTTCCTCAGGGTTCTGCAACCACCCCACCACCACCTTGGATAGACTTGAGGAAGATGGAATTCTTTCCTGGGAGAGAGATGAAATAGAAAGGCTGGAGTTTGAAGTAAAAAGTCTAATTTACAGATAAGAGGAGAGTTGGAGACAAAAGTCCAGAGTGATTTGGTTAAGAGCAGGTGATAAAAACGCATTTTTTTTCATGCCTATGCTAGTGCAAGGAGGAGAAACTTCATCTCCAGATTTCAGGTGGAAGGGGAGATGGTAGAGTTCTGGAATGAATCCAAGAGAAGGTGGTTGGTTTCTACAAGGCTTTATATACCTCAAAAAAGTGGAGATGGATGCCACTTGGAGAGCTGGTCCCAAAGAAGCTGAATGAGAATTCAGCATCCTGGATTGTAAGAGAATTTGAGTTGGAGGAAGTTAAAGAAGCCTTAAAAGACATTAACGGGGACAAAGCCCGAGGCTTGGATAGTTTCAACTTTACTTTCATCAAAGCCTGTTGGAATTGGATGGAGAGAGACTTTAAGCAAATGTTTAAAGAGTTTCATAGAGAGAAGATCTTGGAGAAGATGGCTAATGCTACTTTTATATCTCTAGTTCCAAAAAAAGATGGAGCAGTGGATTTAAAGGACTTTAGGCCAATAAGCTTAATCAGCAGCCCTTATAAGTTATTGGCTAGTGTTATCCAAGAGATTGAGGTCAGTATTCCATGAGGTAGTAGGGAAATCCGTTGGCCTTTGTGGAAGGAAGACAAATTTTGGATAGAGTCCAAGTGAATGCATTGACTCTAGATTGAGAAGTGGCATACTAGGATTAGTGTGTAAGATTGACATGTAGAAGGCTTATGATCACGTATTCTTAGAAGAAACTCAAAGATTGATGGGTTCGGAGAAAAGTGGAGGTCTTGGATGCATGCATATGTGTTCACAGTCTTATTCTCAATCCTTATAAATGACATCCTCAGAATTCTTTCAAGCTTCCAGGAGTCTAAGACAAGGAGATCCAATATCTCCTTTGCTATTTGTTATGGTTATGGAGATTTTGAATCTTCTGTTAGAGAGAAGTGGACAAATGGGCTTGATTAAGGGATTTAAGGCTGGAAGGGGTGGGCATTGCATTACCCATTTGCAGTATGACACCTTGATTTTTCTGGATGCTACGGTGGAACTGATGGTGAATTTAAGAGCAGTATTGGCAAATTTTGAAATGTTAACAGGGCTGAAGATCAATCTTTCAAAAAGCATAATGATCGAAATTGGAGAGGTGGAGAGGGATGTTATGGTGGAATGTGATGATGCTCTTGAATGCAGAATTGGTGGGCTCCCTTTCACCTATTTGGGAATACTGATAGGAGGTGCTTCAAATTCTGACATAATAAGGAAACCAATCTTAGAGAGGGTTGAAAGGAGGTTGGATGGGTAGAAAGCTAAATATTTTCCTTGGGGTGGGGGAATAAAATTAATTAAAAGTGTCTTGTCAAACTTACCCAACCTATTATTTATCTTGGCTGAAAATACCAACTAAGGTGGCAGAGAGAATTGAGAAAATTCAGACTTCAGAGGGCTTCCTATGGGAGGGGGTGGGGGAGAAGGGGGAAAGAAATTTCACTTGGTGAATTGGGTTAAGGTCTGTAAACTGAAAGAGAAGGGGGAACTGGGGCTAAGAAAAATGAGAATCTTTAATAGGACTTTAATGGGAAAGTGGCTTTGGAGATTTGGTTTAGGGAGAGAGGAAAACTCATTGTGGAGGAGGGTGGTGGTTGGGAAATATGGGGTGGTGAGGTTTGGCTGGGAATCTAGAGAAGTGAGGGATTCATATGGGGTGAGTGTGTGGAAGGGGATTAGGAGATTTAACAGGGAGTTTAGATGTCTGACAAGTTTTGTAGTAGGGGATGGATCAAGAATCAGATTTTGGGAGGATGATTGGTGTGGAATAGGCAAGCTCAGTGATTTAGGGCACCTTGTCGCCTAGTTGACTAGGCGATGGATTTTTTTAGTAAAAAACATAGATCCTAGGGTAGTTCCCTAGGTGCCATAACCATATTTCCTTAATATTTATTCATAATTTTCATAAGAAAAGTATAAAGTTCATGTTAAAGTATAGCAAATCAACATATTCATGAGAAGAGAAAGAAGAAAGAAATGAAAATTGAAAAAACATGGGGGCTGAACCCTTATTTTTGTTATAGGAAAAGAAGAAAAGAAAAAGGATATAAATGCTGGAGGGGGGCTCAAAAGTTGTAATCTCTTGGGAAAAATGTTATAGACATGTCCCGTGGACCCTCAAGCATATCTTCAGAGAAGTGGAGAGAATAGCAAAGGATATAAATGCTGATTTTAGGTGGATCAGGAGGAGTGCAAATGGGTTAGCAGATACTTTAGCCAAACAAGGGGCTGCAGGGCAGCAACTATATTGGGCCTCGTTGTAACTTGGATTGTAATCATTGGGGATGACTATTGGGTCATCAGTCTATAATTAACTCCACATAATTTAATTAATGAAGCAATCTTTTTGCTGATAAAAAAAAAGAAAAGAAAAAGTAGAACATATGGAAGAAAAAGTAGAAGAAATTCAGAAAGAAGAATATATGGAAGAAGAAAATGTGTTGAGTAGACAAAATTTTAAGTTCTACCTTACTTATTGGTTCAACTTTTGAAGGCCCTGTTTGGCGTGTCTTTCCGCGCGGTCTTTCGGCTGCTTACAAGCTGGGAAGACCGAAAATCGGTCTATTCCCATTTGGCACGTGGAAGATCTCGCCGCCAAAAGACGGGGCGCCGAAA